CTATAGCTGTTCGCAGCTTTCACGGCAGGCTCTACCAGTGAAATGATCACATCCTTCAGCTGAGGTATCATTGCATGCCTGTATAGTGAGAGTATTTGAATATGACACCGCTGGGATTCGAACCCGCACGAACCCGTATATCTCTGCACATGTTTCACATGGAAGGTGTTATCATCCGGAGTATTTGCTGGGTTAATCGATGATATCGTGAATCGTACAGGAGTATGCATAAGACATGCCACTCAGACGCTAGTTCAGGGTTAGCAACGAATCCGATGGTCACTACGTTATTACTATCTAACTATCAATAAGAACATTTCAAATGTCCGTATTTTGAATGGAATAGACAAGTTGAAGTAACAAGTAGTTTGAAATTCAGACTACTCGTTCCATCAACGCCTTAATCCCATTCAAGATGGACATGCCATAACTAGACCAATTCAAACGAGATAGTGTTCCTGCTTCTACCGTTACGGTAGTACCGTACCTTCAAGTACACGATTCGAATTCGTGACTTCATAATTATTGCGATTCTACCATTCTTCGGTAGTCTAGTGTATGCATTATGGTTACTGAATTGATCATAAACTAACAATTATCCGTTAACGGCTTTCGTTGAGTAACTCAACTTGAGTTGCTCAGATCCAATCCCAACAGATTAGCTCTTCGAGAAAAGATACCCTTCTAGTCTGCTCGTGCCTTGTATATTTTCAGTTCTTTGATCCAGCAAAAATCACAGAGGTTGAAGGACACCAAAGCAATAGTGATGAAACCTACTGAAATTCCCTATTATAGAGATAGGCAGTGTTGAAGTAGGAATATATGTTCGCTTTTCTCAGTTGAGCTCAAGAGATTCCTCACTAATAATTGGAGTTTGTATAGAACTAATAGAGTTAGAACGAGAATTTTCGAAAATTTCCTCAGAATTGTCAGATTTTCGCCAACACATATTTGACCATGTCCATATTTTCCCACATTGATTATAGGTCAACCCCAAATCATAACAATAATAAAAAACGTGACGTGTGGTATTCGGGTTGTTAATAACAATGCGAAATGTCACTATCGACTGAAACACTCGCGTGAGAGCCTGTCGATTCTTAATGAAGCAAATAAAGCGGAACCCTCCACGAAATCATCTCAACGGAGAAAACCAGACCTGTCGATGGTGATGTCCCTTCATGTGATATGAACGCACAATTCGTACATTTCTCCTACTGCCGATCGAATAAACATGAATGTGAATTCACCTAGCTCACTGAAGCTGAACTTCCGAAGAGCTAGCAACACTATCTGGTCACCGGACGCTACTTCGTCCGAAAACGAAATGAGGAATTCAAAACGGACTTCAGTGAGGCCGTAATAAGAGGATGCAAAATTTCTGCGTCCTCTTATTATTTCTATTATTTCTGCGGCAGAAAGCTCGAAGGAAGGAGTGACCTGAAGTTCACACTGAAACCTGAGATAGGAAGAAAATTAATTTTGTGGCGCAGTGACACTGAACTGCTAGGTTCTCCACTTGTATAATTTACAAGTTGTGAAACTGCATCGCAATTTTGTGATTATAATTCAACTGAATAAGTTTCACATTGATTTATATCAGAAAATTCTAATTGTAAAATTAAATACTTACAAATATCAATTATATACCAAAATCTCATTCAATTGAGAATCATATCATGCTTCACTTTCATATAGAGCTACAGCGACACGAAACTATATTGCATGCACCAGAAACATAAAGCCCAGAATTGCGCCTAGTCTAGTGTAGAGGTAGTA